TACAATATCTCTCACACTCTATTTTTCTTCACAAACTATTTTCTTATAGTTTATGGAATACCTTGCTCTCTCTTTTCTCTCTTTGTTGGTGTGTAGAAATGAGAGTTAAAGCTCTCCTTTTATAGCCAAAACCTCACTCTCTAAAGCCTACAATATTTGACAATTTACACACCCTTTTCACAATTTCAACAAGGTTGGCTACCAAACCAAACCAAGTCAATAAAATTGGCTACCAAATTATACAAATTCAACAAGGTTGGCTACCAAACCAAACCAAGTCAACAAAATTGGCTACCAAATCATTTGAATGAGATGGACACCATATCAATCCAGCCCCTTCATTCAAAGGAAACCTTCAGCACAATAAAAAGGCAGAATAGTTCGGGAGCCCCTGAACTTGGCAACTTTTGTTTAGTTCTCCTTAAACTTCACGTGGTCTTTAATACCCACCTTAACTTGGAAAATTGAAAGTCTTGACCCCCCCAGATGCTGATGTGGCAAAGAACATGAATACACTCTCTTTTAGGCGCATGGGAGAGAAGAAAAATAAAAAAATCAGCTTCCAAGTAGGATATTTTTTAAATATTAATTGCCACATAATCAAATATAATGATTTATTTGTTTCAAATGTATTTCTCGTTGTTGCTTTTTAATAAATATTTTATCCCAATTGTATTTTTTTAGATACAATGAATATATGTTTCAACTATGTATTTCTTATCTTTTTTTTCCGGTCCAAATCTACAAAAGTTAGTTGAAACTCCATTTATTTTAGCCAAATAAAAAGAAGATTTAGCCAAAGTAATGAAGTTCAAACAATGTATTTTCTACAAAAAGAAAAAAATATTGTGTATTTTTATTTTCATGCAGTAACTATTTATTTAGACTATGCATTTTTTTCGAGTCAAATTCGCAAATATTTGGTCCGAATTTTACTATTTTTAGCTCAACTATTTACTTAGCCAATACATGGAGTTTCAATAACGTATTTTTTATTTTTATTTTTTTAGATGCAATTATAATATGTTCTAATTGTGTATTCCTTCTTTTCCTGACCAAATATGTAAAAGTAACTTGATTAAAATATTAATACCTTTAGTCAAATAAAAAACTATAGTTAAAATAACGTTGTTTCAAGGTTTTTTTTAACAAATTATGGCACGCAAAAAAATGATTTAGATAGTTGGTGGACTTAAAAAATATATATATTATAGTAAAAAATGCCACATGGATGTGCGTGTCACACTCCCATGGATTGTCAGCGTCTAGGGGGTCGAGGCTATGAAATTGCCAAGTTCAGAGGGTACTAAAGACCACGTGAAGTTTAAGTGGGAACTAAACAAAAGTTGTCAAGTTCAAGGGGATCCCGAACTATTCTGCCCAATAAAAACTTGCAAGGAACTTATACCACTATGTCCATCACTAGAGCACCTTAAATGTAAGCACTAGAACCATGACTAAAAGCAGCCAGAGTGCAAGGCAAAAAGTGAAAGAAATATGACCTTGCTCTAAATTCCTTGAATATTGAAGAAATACCACATCAGAAGGTCATACAGCTAAGAGAGTCCTAGGAAAACCAACTCATCCAGATATGCATCAGATTAAAGGCAGCACTGATGCGTGAATGGGTGACCAAAAATAAGCTAAAACCAAATGTCTATGAATGGGATGCACCAAGAACCCAGCATCATCTGTTGCTATTCTTCCCATTTCCCACCTCTACATAAGACGCAACCTGAATGCTAGCAATACTGTATTCACATGCCACAATTTGACAAAAAACACTGGAGTGAAGTGGTATATTAAGAAGCTCTGCTATCTATTGCACAAATCATCTTTCCTGTCCAGTATTCTTTCGTCTTATCAAACGAAAAAAAATATCAAGAGATGAAAACTTCCTGAAACAAGAATGTTCATGGGGGAGAGCAAAGAAAAGCCAATGAGTGCCTGAGTCAGTTATATTAGAATCCTACCCCTTTCAACAGAAATGTTGTGAGAAATTCTTTGTGGTATGCTAGTAACTCTCCCTTGTACTCGTTTTTTTCTTCATTCAGACCATGTCGTCGAATGTATAACATAATCTAAAGCAACTATAAAACTGAGGTTCCCAGAAAGTTAAACAATTGTCTTCGAATAAGTTACACAGAAGTTTGAGAAAACAAAATTCTGAAAGATAGTATCACATGTTAAAGTAGTTCTATAGAAATAAATCCAAATACACGACATAACAATCTAAGAAGCAGGAACACTACTAAATGGATAAGTTCTAGGTTCAAGCATCTAAAATGCTGTTTCATCCAACCATGAATGCACAATGCTGTAGAACTGGATGAAACCAAGCAACAGAATTATAGTTACTACCTTCAATTTGTGCGATTGAATTTGGAAATTCCTCAGATATCTCGCGAGTTCTGACATCAAAGGTGCGACAAAAGACAAAGTCAGCTGTGTCCAAATCTTCGTCTTTTGGCTGAGGGTTCCTCGTATCAGTTGATATGCAGACAACATTGCATTTACCAGTGATGGCTTCCTGCAATAAAATCTCAAAGAGGTCATGCCATAACATCTGAAAACAGATTATATTTAAAATATATTTTTCTAAAAGGATGAGTGAAACAGTTACCACAGGATTACAATTTGAAAGCCCTATGCCTTCTCCTGAAGCCAAGAGTAACTCATTGTCAAGCAGCTTGATATTACCCAACCAATGAATTACCTCGGTGGGACGGAAAAACCATACAACTTTAACCATCCTTTTCTTTTGGGCTGTCTCCCATATCTTGACAACCTTACCGATGTCTGGCTCATCTTCATCAGGACGACACATGTACACACAATCATATAAGGAGATATCAACCCCCTCATAAGTGAATGATTTGTAAAATTGGACACCCTTGTTAAGGGCACCCTTTCCCTTCTTGACACCCCAACTAAAATTAGGACTACTGTCTTCCTCTGCTTCTCGAAAGGGCAACATTTGATACTTATCACAATGTGGTGTTAACTTTTCAAAGGCCTGAAAAGGGAAGACATGCTTGTCATTAAAAACTGATAACCATCTAAAAGAAAATAGAAGTGCACATTCTAACAATTGTTGACTGCCAAAAATTCCTAAAAACAGAATCATTACACATATGGCCCAAAATTCATGGAGAATCCATAGAAACCCACATATTGAGGCTTCGCTTTTACAAGAAAAAAGAGCAAACAAAGGTAGACTCCAAAAGAACAAACCATTCAAAGCAAAAACATTCTTTTTTCTTTATATAAGTGATGTTCGACCAAGACTTGGACAGATAGGAATTGCCTCCACTGGGATTTAAACCTGAGACCTCATGGTTCTCAACTCACTTCATTGACGACTAGGACACAACCTTGGGTGCAAAGCAAAAACATTCTTGTTCACCTCTTAAGTTTCTTTTTCAGTTTGAAATAGGGATTCAATCATGTCTATTTTTGTGGGTTGCTCTGAATGCAGGTTCACTGAAACAGACAATTCATTAAAAAGTACTACGTATACACAAAGATGATCAATAAAATGACAATAAAAGCTATACAACCAACAAAATATACACAACGCAATCAGAAAAACAAGGAGAAAATAAAAAAGCATAAACATTGCTACAAAGGGGGAAAAAAGTTATACACAATGAAACAAAAGGAAATAAAGAAAAGAAGAACCAAAAAAGCATAGAAAATGCACAGAGGAAGATGGCCAAATCCGATCATTCAAAAAGCCCTGTAGACCATTTTTATCTCGAAATATAAAACGGTACAATTTTTTTCGCATTTATCTAAAAATGTTGAACAATACAGCCATACGATAAGGTAGCATTCATACACAATCGTGATAAAAACGCAAAGATCCATAAACCCTATTAGACCAACATATTGCATACATACCTGAAGAGGAAGGAGTTTGAGAGAGAGAGAGAGAGAGAGAGAGAGAGTACTTTAAACTGTGTACACTGAAGTATGCAGCCAGCAGCAAAATAAGCCCTGTACGAGATGAAAAATGATCAAAAAACCTCATAATCCTAAAACCCTGTAGAACATTTCTCAAAAATATATAGAACCATATAGAAGTTTCTGGCAGAAAAATGACAATAACCCACAAATACAATGTGAACATTCACACACCTAAACAGAAAAAAGAAAAAGAAAAAGAAAACGTTCAGAGTCTATATTTGCTAATGACGGAGAATACAAATAAATATATAAACAGAACGACGAAAAATGGCGTTTAGAGTCAAACCTCCGAGTTAAGTTTGCATCAAACAAGGAGAAATGAAAAGGAACGAAATGCAAAGAGACACAAACACACATACTCTCTCTCTCTCTCTCTCTCTCTCTCTCTCTCTCTCTTTCTTTCTCTCTCACTGCAACAAAAGCAGAAATACAGAGAGGGTTACAGGAGTGGATTAGCGTATAGTGTTCTCTCTGTTATGATCCTTTTTGCAGAATGGTACACTGCTAATTTGCACAGGCGGTGAGCTGCAGTTTTACTATAAATGATACTAACACACATATCTGTACCAATAGACCAGAAATTATATTTTGAGCTTAACTCCAACCATTTTCTCATGTGCTCCCTTAACTAGTGTAGTATGTGAGATTTTTGGTTAAATAAAAATCTGGTTTGTCTTGTTTCTTCCCAATAATAATCATGTTTTTAATTTCATTAGCATATTAACTCAATTTTTAGAAGTCATAACTAATTCTTTATCAAGAAAAAGATAATGGTTAAAAACCGTAATTACGTGTTTATTTCCATTTGGCACTACGCTCCTACTTCCGATCCCACTATCTTTTTACCTCTTTATGGTTATCTCTCCTTAATTTATGATATAGCCAAAATTAGATCATACACACACCAACATGTGCTCCTTAATAGAGTCCGGAACCTAAATAATATGTGTTTGGACTCAAAACACACAAATAAGTGTATTAAAAAAACGACATTTCTATATATAGCGTGCAATAACAACACGCTATATATTAACGGTAACGTCTGCCGTTAAGTATAGCGTGTTGTTGTTACACGCTATATGTATAGCGCACAAACAGAAAACGATATCCTCTGATTTTGGCCCCACCAATAAGTGAACTCACAATCACAATTATTTCAATGTATAGCGTGTGTTTAGAAACACTATATATCCAAAATTTTCTACCTCCCGGACTAGCCATTTCCTATATAAAGTGGTCAGAGTATTTGGAAAAATCGTTCACATACAATTCTAATTCTCTTCAATATTTTCTTATTGTTAAACTCTGAAGCATTTTTTTCGCAATGTCTGAAGAGCGTAGAATAAGAGTTTCATTATATTGGGGGGGTGAGGTTGTGACGGAGAATAACTCTGTGAGGTATAGTTTATCTCCACAGGGTCATGTTAAATTACCACTTACACTAGAGTACGATAAATTGATATCGTTGTTATGTAAAAAAATGGGAAAGAGGAAACGTTCAGTGATACTTAAAGTAACTGGAAGATATTCGTATTCCGTCACTCCGCAAGGGGCTGCTTTTTACTCGGTGTTAAACATCTACGATGATGAAACTTTGAGGGATTATATGAGGACTCCGGATGAATACCGGGAATATCTTGTAATAAATATGTTGGATATGTACGTCAAGGTCGAAGATGTTCCAAATAATGAGATGGCTGGACATGTTCAGGATAACCCCCAATCATCGGTTGGCTATTCTGGAGGAGTTTTTGCCGGACATGTTCCTGATTAAAGAGTTTTCCTTGATTTAAACTCATCCTTGCCTACTTTACATAATTCACAAGACGAGTGGTAAGCTTCAATTTTTCTTTGTGGTACGATGTACAATTTTGTTGTATTCAATTTGTATTAACGCTCATATATTTAACAAGGGGTACAGGTCGGATATGAGTTTTATAAATAATGAACCCAAGCATAGTTTTGGTGTGTTGGATCAAAGTGGTCCATCCGGGTACTATCACCGACATGAAAATGTCCATCATGGAATTTCATCACATTACGACTTGTAAGTGAAGTGATACGGCTATATGAAAAATATTTTGTAAATTTAGCATCTTATTAATTTGTTGATTGTGCAGTGAAAACGATCAAGTTGAAGCAAATGTACTCACTCAATTGCCCGAAGATGACGTATTAAATCGGGATCTCGCAGATGCACAGAGTTAAGAAGAGAACAGTGATTACGACAATAATGCTGATGAATCTGGAGACGATACACCATTTCATCGTGAGGATGGTGATGAGGAGGATGAGAAGGAAGGACCTGATTTGACGAGAGAGTATGTTCCATCCCCTAGACGAAGAGTGCATGAGTCCCAAGTGTCATTTCATTCAAGGGAGGTTCCTTACCTTGATAACTTGACAAACATGCCGGATGTGGAAGCTATAACAAGGGATTTTGATAAAATTCGGACAGCAATGTGGGATGAGTCTAGACCAACGGTGCTGGAAAAGGGCATGCTTTTTCCTGATAAAGCGCGCCTAAGCAGGGCTTGTAAAATGCACAACATAAAAGAGTGTCGTGAGATGAGGTATGGGAGTCAAGTCCGGTTGTATACAAGGTTGTTTGTCACAGGTGGTTTTGGTCATGTCATTGGATGTTGCGTGCGATTAAGAAGAAGACAGGTATGTGGAAAGTGGGTAAATACATTCCCACCCATACATGCGAAATGGACACATTCAACGGGAATCATTTCAACTTGGATATTGACTTGATTTCTCTTGTTCCTATTCCATACATCGAAGCAACCATAAGGTATAAAATCAAATAGTGCATTACAGCAGTCCACCAGGAACATGGCCATACAATTACTAAAATAAAGGCATATCTCGGGCAAAAAAGAGCGTTTTAAATAGTCTATGGTAACTGGGATAAGTCATTTGCAGATCTCCCTAGGTACATGGCTGCACTGCAGCAGTTTAACCCCGGGACGGTTGTTGAATGGAAGCTTGAGTGTATTCCAGGTAAACCAGAATATATGTTCAATTACGTTTTCTGGGCGTTTAAACCAGCAGTTGATGGTCTTTCACATTGTCGGCCCTTAATATCCATAGACGGCACTTATGTCTATGGAAAGTACGATATCAAACTGTTGATAGCCATGGCAGTAGATGCTAATGGATAGATATTTCCTCTAGCCTTTGCTATTTGTGCCAATGAAAGCCAAGAGACGTGGACGCTGTTTTTGAACCACTTAAAAGAGCACGTTGTGAAATAGTGTTCTGATATCTGTCTAATTGTGAGCACGTGATTTTTGCCTTACGAAAAACTACTCCAAAATAAATCAAAAATAAAATAAATTTATTTTACCGTGTAATTTCTGAATTTGCGTGGTGTTAAATATTTGTTTATGTCCGTAAATATTTACTTTGTCATGATAAAATGAAAAATAAAATAAAATACATGTTGCATGCATATAGGATATAATTATGCATTTTAAAAGATAATTTAAATAAAAAAAAATATGCGTTAGTTCTATTTTAAATATCCCACTGTGTGATTAATGTTTTGATTATGTGTTAAATAATTGTTATGAAGTAATTAATATTTTTGTGTAAGGTTAAAAATTGTTTTAT